ATGTGCGACCCATCCAAGGTTGTATGTCAGAGCCCTGCCCGATGATGCTAACCTGTGTGCAAGAGGTCGAGAGAATCCTCTAAAGATGTAAGACCTATCTGAGGTTGTATGTCAGAGCCCTGCTCGATGACGTTAACTTGTGTGAAAGAGGTCGAGAGAATCCTCTAAGGATGTAAGAACTAACCGAGGTTGTATGTCAGAGCCCTGCTCAATGACGTTAACCTGTGTGGAAGAGGTCGGGAGAATCCACCAAGGATGTAAGACCTTTCCGAGGTTATATGCCAGAGCCCTACTCGATGACGTTAATCAGTGTGGAAGGGGTCGAGAGAATCTATCAAGGATGTAAGACCTTTTCAAGATTGTATGCTAGAGCCCTGCTCGATGATGTTAACCTGTGTGGAAGAGGTCCACCAAGAATGTAAGACCTTTCCGAGGTTGTATGCCAGAGCCCTGCTCGATGACGTTAACCTGTGTGGAAGAGGTCGAGAGAATCCACCAAGGATGTAAGACCTTTTCGAAGTTATATGTCAAAGCCCTGCTCGATGACGTTAACCTGTGTGGAAGAGGTCGGGAGAATCCACCAATGATGTAAGACCTTTCCGAGGTTATATGCCAGAGCCCTGCTTGATGATGTTAACCTGTGTGGAAGAGGTCGGGAGAATCCACCAAGGATGTAAGATCTTTCCGAGGTTATATGCCAGAGCCTTGCTCGATGACGTTAGTGGAAGAGGTCGAGAGAATCCACCAAAGATGTAAGACCTTTTTGAGGTTATATGCCAGAGCCCTGCTCGAAGACCTTAACCTGTGTGGAAGAGGTCGGGAGAATCCACCAAGGATGTAAGACCTTTCCGAGGTTGTATGCCAAAGCCCTGCTCGATTACGTTAACCTGTGTGAAAGAGGTCGGGAGAATCTACCAAGGATGTAAGACCTTTCCGAGGTTGTATGCCAGAGCCCTGCTCAATGATGTTAACCTGTGTGGAGGAGGTCGAGAGAATCCACCAATGATGTAATACCTTTTCGAGGTTATATGCTAGAACCCTGCTCGATGACGTTAACATGAGTGGAAGAGGTCGAGAGAATCCACCAAGGATGTAAGACCTTTCGAGGTTATATGCCAGAGCCCTGCTCGATGACGTTAACCTGTGTGAAAGAAGTTAGGAGAATCCACAAAGGATGTAAGACCTTTCCGAGGTTGTATGCCAGAGCCCTGCTCGATGACGTTAACCTGTGTGGAAGAGGTCGAGAGAATCCACCAAGGATGTAAGACCTTTCCGAGGTTGTATGTCGGAGCCTTTGCTCGACGACGTTAACCTGTGTGGAAGAGATCGGGAGAATCCACC